CGCGAGGTGGGAGCAAGTCCGCGGGGAGCAGGGGGTGGGAATCTGCCCAGTGTTTGCCGTCAGAATCTACGAGTTGAGCTGTGGCTCCGTCCTCCGGCCCCCAGAGGGCGCCACGGCGCCTTGTCCCCAGCAGACTTGCCCTCCCTCTCTGCCACTAGGCGGCGCCCTTCTACGCTAGGCGGCCGTGTCGTACTCGCCGTCGAGGCGGCGTGCGTTCGAGGGCTCCGGCTGCGCGACCTCCCTTCGCTTTGCTGTTTCCTGCGGCGCGTCCCAGGGACGTGAGGGCAGGTGAGGAAGGCTCACGCGGAGGTCAGGGCCTGGCTGGGCTGGCAGAAGCACGAGCTCGAGGCAGCCCCTCGGGCAGGCCCAAGCCAGAAATTGAGGGTGTGTCCGTAGGTACTGCCCTGAAGATGGGGCCCACCATCTTCCCAAGAGTAAAGACTCTTGGGAGCGCAATCCGGACCTGGGCAGAAGGGAGACCCTCTGGCGTTCTTTTCCCTCCCCAGGCCCGAACTCGCATAGACGCAGAGCGTCTTGTGCTCCGGCACCCATCCTGGCACCTACAGCCTTGTGTGCCCTGCCTGCATTGCTGGCGGAGCCCTCCCAGACCGTCTTCAACCCAGTTCCTGAATGAGCTGGAGCCTCCCTTCACACCGGTGCCCAGCCTCTCACTCACTTGCCCATAGCAGTCGTACCCTTAGCAGGGAGTGATGGAAAGGCCCGCAGAGGAGGGGGACATGTCCCCAGACTCCCAGGGCCACGCCACTGACTGGAGGTTTGCTGTGTGCAGTTTCAAGGATGCCTGGGAGGAGGAGGAACCTGCTCTCCAGATGCAGGTTAAGGACCCAAGTTATCCAAGACCACTAGAAGGGGCAGCCCAGGCCAAAAGGCTACAGGACAGCTCTTTGTCCAGAGAGGTTCAGTCACCTTCAGAACCAAAGGCTATGGACAGGTCAGGGAACAGCCCAAAGACTACATTAGGAGACTCCTTAGTCCAGACAGAACAGCCAGCCTTCTCTGGAGTGGAGAGCCTCCTTTGTCCCATGTCCTCCCACCTCAGCCTGGCTCAGGGTGAGAGTGACAGCCCAGGGAGAGGTTTGGTAGGGGGTCCAGGTTCAGGTGGAGCATTGCCAGCTGGCTTTGGCCTTGGGGAGCAGGACAGCAACCCTGTGGACCTTGGAGACCCTTTACCAGAGATATCATCAAAGCTACTGGAGGCAGGTAAAGGAGGCTGAGAAGGGAATGGGGGATACCTGGAGGTGGGTGTTGAGACTTGGGAGATCTCTGATCAGGCTGAAGTTCTGGTTCATGGAGGGGTCTCTGGGTAGGTGGCCCAGTGCAGACCCAAGCCATTTCCATTTCTAAGACCCCAGCAGATCCAGTCTCCCTAAGCCTGCTGACTGCCTCCTGGCCCAAGACCTCACCTGGGAGCTGCTGGCTAGCGGCATGGCTGCCTTGCCAGGTAGCTGGGAGAGCCTAGAGGGAGTGGAGGAAGAGTGGCTTTACTGGGTAGATGTTCACTGTCTCCTCCCTGCAGGGACTCGCGATGTAGAAGGCCGAGCAGTACTGCTTCTGTGTGCCCACAGCCCTGGCTGGCTTTACCCCAAGTGCAGAACTCATGAACTCATCTGCCTCCTACTCTACCTGCGAGGCATCCCCAGGTTTGGAGGAAGCAGCTGGGGACTGAGCCTGAACCCAGACTTGAGAATCAGATACTGAAATAAAGCCCTCCCCTTTAGGCCTGAAGTACAAGCCCTGGGACTGACCGTCCTTGTTGATGCCCGAATTTGTTCCCCGAGCTCTTCCCTGTTCTGGGGGCTCAACCAACTCCAAGTGAGTACAGGAGTGTGGCTCCCCTCCATTCCTTTAGGTTGTAGAGTTGGGTATGGGAATGAGCTCTGATTCCTTGCAGGAGGCAGCTCCAGGGTCGGTACACCAGGTGCTGCTAGTGGGAAAGATGCCTGATGCGGTGCCTTCAGGGCTGCAGGTACTGAGTCAGGTTGACTGGGGTGGAGGTGGAGTCCTTCTCCACCTGGTTCTACTTCACGACACCTTCTTTTCTTAGCTAGAGCAGCTGCCCTCTCATGAGAGCCTGCTGACCCACATCCCCACCACAGAGTTGCCCACTTCGCTAGGAGGATGCCTGCCTTACTGCCATCAGACTTGGCTGGATTTCCGGATGGTCAGTGCACCCAGAAGAGGTGGGGGAGTATGTAGGCAACCCGGGCTTATGGGAGGAGCCTCTCTGGGTCAGCTGACTGCAGTGGCCTGGAATCCATTGGAAGCCTGGAACCAGCATTGCACACTGGTCATGTCTATCCCTACTCACAGCGTCTGGAAGCCCTACTGCAGAGCTGCCAGGTGGTTTGTACCCTGCTCCAGGAGGCCATTGAGAGTGTGAAGGCTGTACCCCAACCCACAGCATCTGGGGTGAATATCCCCTCCCCACACCTCCTTGAATACTCCCTGACTCCCTCCTTTTCTCCCATACCTACCAATGCCTGTTGTCCTCAATCACAGGAAGTCAGTCAGCTGCTACATCAGGCACAGGTCCTGATGCAGCAGGTGTTAGACTCACCACAGCTGGCATGGTTACAAGGCCAAGGGGGCCTGGAGCTGGCATGGCTGAAGCAGGAGATCCCAGAGGTGACTCTGAGCCCAGACTACCGGTAGGTACAAGCCCAGCTCCCAGATCTTTCCCCAGCTTAGCCCACCACAGCTGTGCCAAGCACGGAACTGGATGGCTCAGCACCAGCCAGGATTATGAGTCCCAGGACAGGGTGGAGTGGAGCAACGGGTCCACAAAGTACCATAAGACCATATACCTTGCACAGGATGGCAGTGGACAAGGCTGATGAGTTGTATGGCCAGGTAGATGGACTGCTGCACCAGCTGACCCTGCAGAGCAACCAGCGAGTGCAGGCCCTAGAACTGCTCCAAATGCTGGAGGCCCAGGAGAGTGGGCTGCACCAGGTGGGAACTACTTTTCCAATGTGGCCTCGTCTCCAGCATGATCCTCACCCACAGCAGCTCTAGGGTAGTCTCCAGGTGACAGCAGCTGTCCTTGCCTTTCCCTGCTTGTGTCTGTCCAGATTGAAGTGTGGCTACAGGAGGTGGGCTGGCCAGCACTGGAGGAGCCAGGGGAGCCTTCCCTGGACATGCTGCTCCAGGCCCAAGGTCCTTTTCAAGAGCTGGACCAGGTGGCTCAGGTAAGTTGGTCATATGTTCATTCTGCATGGATTGGGACACTTGACCAGGGACTAGGACAGTAGGATTGAGTGAAAACAAATCAATCTGTCCAGCTTTCTTGGAGCTTACCACCCAGCAGAGGAGAACAGTTGTAATCAAAGGTTCGTGTATGTGTTTGCAAACTAAGGCAAGGACTGTGGAGAAAAGCAGCATGATGGTCCTCTGAGTATGTAACAAAGGCCTGACAAAGCAGGGGTATTAGGGAAGCTTTTTTGGGGGTGATATGAGCTGAAAGATGAAGGACATTTTGGGGTCAGAAAATGGTTGTAGATGGAGGAACATTCTAGGCTGGGAAACAGCATGTTCAAAGGCCCCATGGCGTGAAGGAGTATGATATGCCTAAGAAACCATAAAATCAGTGAGGTTAAAATGCAGAGCAGAGGGAGATTGGAGTGAGATGAAGTGAGATGAGGCTAGAAGACTGGCCAGTGGCCAGATCATTAGGTCCTATAGCAGTGAAAAGTTTGAGCAAGAAAGTTCCAAAATCAGAACCATATTCCAGGAAGATGACCTTAGTTTCTGGGTAGACAATGACTTGAAGGATGGATATGGAAAGTTTTGTGAAGAGGCAATTGCAGTAGTCCAGTTGGGAAATAAATTCATCTCTAGGTGTCTGTGGAGGTTTGGTTCCAGGAACTGCCTCAGATTCCTAAATCAGTGGATGCTCAAGTTCTTTATGTAAAGTGGTGCAGTGTTTCCTTACAACCTCCACATGCTTTTTTTTTTTTTTTTTTAAAGCAGTACTGGGAGTTGAACTCAGGGCTTTGTGCTTGGTAGGCTAATGTCCTACTACTTCAGCCACACCACCAGCCCTTTTTGCTTTGGTTATTTTTTGAGATAGGTTCTCTGTCTTTTTTTTTTGGCAGTAGTAAGGTTTGAACTTAGGGTCTCACATTTGCTTACTAGGCAGGTGCTCTTACCACTTGAGCCACTCCATTAACACTGTTTTGTGATGGTTATTTTTTTTTTTTTTGTGATAGGGTCTCCTGAACTGTTTGCCTGGGGCTGGCTTCAAATGTCAGTCTTCTTGATCTCTGCCTCCAGAGTAGCTAGTATTATAGTCGTGAGCCACCAGTGCCCAGCCTGTAGTCTCACTTTTATGCCAGGACCATGATCCTTCTATTTATGTCTCCTGAGTAACTGGGATGACAGGAGTGCTCCACTATACCCAGTTATTTATTGGTTGAGATGGGGTCTTGCATACTTTTTTCCCAGGCTGGCCTGGAACTGTGATCCTCCCTATTTCTGCCTCTCAAGTAGCTAGGATTATGAAATTGAACCACAGCACCCAGCATCCTTCCACACACTTTAAGCTCTAGATTAATTATACCTGGTATTGTGTACATGGTATGTAAACAGTTGCTAGACTATCCTTGTTAGGGAATAATGACAAGAAAAAAGCCCATATGCATTTAGTACAGATGAATTTTTTTCACAAGTAGTTCCAGTGCAAGATTGGTCGACCAAGAAAAAAAAAAAAAAAAAAGGTTAGTTGAATCCCTGGATGCAGAACCTACAGATAGAGAAGGCCAGCTATAATGCTTTTTCTGGCCAGGATGGTAACAGGGATGGATATGAAGTGTTTGTAAGACATGGTGGTGCTGCATCAATATGAGAAGGTAAGGGATAGGGCAATTGTAAGGATGAGTGGGTACTGTCCCCAAGATGGCCTAGAAGACAAGAACCATCTGTGAGTTCAGTCATAGTGTGTGTTTCTTTTTTTTTTTTAATTGTCATAGTGTATTTTTTTTTAAACTAGGGTTTGAACTCAATGCTTGCTGCTCTATCACTTGAGCCATGCCCCCAGTCCCATACTGTGCTTTTGAGATGAGTGGGAGGGAATGAGAGGAAAGCCTTTGGGTATTGGGCTAGAGAGTGTGGGTAGGGATGACAAGATTGCCTTTGGGAGAGAATGCGCTGTCCTCAGGAGCACAGGTGGGGAAAGGAGATCATGAGGAACCATTGAGGACAAGGAATCAGGAAAGTGGGGAGGAGTCAGGGCCTAGGGTGAAGTCAGAAGGCCTGAGAGAAGGGCATTAGGGGATGGGGTGGGTGAGTGAAGGCCTTCTATTTCTGGAGAGAAACATACCTAGGATATGTCATCTATGATGGCATATCATAGACAGGAAAGATCTAGTAATTCATAGTGGGAAAGATCTAGGTTTGGGACTGGATCACCAGACCTGGACTGGCTAAATCCAGTCTTTCTCTCCAGGAGCAGGTCAGTCGAGGGGAGAGGTTTCTGCAGCCACTGGCTGGCTTGGATGCTGCTGAACTAGGCCTCCCTGGGACACGCTTTCTGGCCCTGAGAACCCAGCTGACAGAATTTTCTCGGGCCTTGGCTCAGCGGCGCCAGCGGCTGGCAGATGCTGAGAAGCTGTTTCAGCTCTTCAAGCAGGTGGGGGAGTGGTCTTATCTCTGGCTCTGTGGTCAGGGGCCAAAGAGGTGGCTTCCCTAGCTCTGCCACTGCCTAAAGTCTTCCTGTTTGTCCTGTGTGTTCTCTTGTCTTCAGTTTCACCCCCAAAGCCAAGCAGTGGGGACATGGCTTGGGGCCATGTCCTGGGGTGGAGTGGGTAGAGATAAGAAGGCATGGCAGGTTTGCTGAGGTCCCCCTCTCATGCCTGTGTGGCCTTGGTGTTGCAGGCCACTACATGGGCTGAGGAGGGACAGCGGGTATTGGCAGAACTGGAACAGGAGCACCCAGGGGTTGTGCTACAGCAGCTGCAGCTGTACTGGACCAGGCACCCTGACTTGCCTCCTGCTCATTTTCGAAAAATGTGGGCTCTGGCCACAGGCCTGAGCTCAGAGGGTATCCGCCAGGAATGCCGCTGGGCCTGGGCCCGGTGCCAGGACACCTGGCTGGCCCTGGACCAGAAGCTAGAGGCTGCACTGAAGTCACCACCAACAGGCAGCACAACTAGCTTGTGTGTCAGCCATGTCCCCACTATACCTGCCACCCCTCCCCTGAGGAAGGCCTACAGCTTTGACCAGAACCTGGGACAGAGTTTCTGTGAGCCTGCCCACCACTGTCACTATGCAGCCACTGTCACTGCCTGCCATGGACTAGAGGCTGGAGGAAGTGCCCAGCCTAGGTCATCTTCTACTATGCTTCCACCAGGCAGCTCTGACCTCAGGAGCCCCAACAGGTACAGGAGGGGCAGGGCATGGAGGGCAGTAGAGGGTAGATGTCTTGGGTCCTGACTCCACTTACTTAAAAGGCTACAGCTGGTGCTGGCAGAGATGGTAGCCACAGAGCGGGAGTATGTCCGAGCCCTTGACTATACCATGGAGAACTACTTCCCTGAGCTAGATCGTCCTGACGTGCCTCAGGGCCTCCGTGGCCAGCGTGCCCAACTGTTTGGCAACCTGGAGAAGCTACGAGACTTCCATTATCATTTCTTCCTGCGTGAGCTGGAGGCTTGTACCCGGCACCCACCCCGAGTGGCCTATGCCTTCTTGCGCCACGTAAGTCACACAGGCCATGTGGGCCCAGTTTATTCTTTCACATTCCCCAAAGAGTTGTTGGGAACATGCTTGGTGTCAGACTCTGCTGGGTATAGCTAAGAGTGAGACCTACAAGGTCCCCAAATCTCAGGGTGTTTTTGGTTAAATAGGAAAGGCATCCATGTGAAAAAGATCATTCTGGATTACATTTGGGGCTAGGAGGAGAATAAGCAGGACAGATGCCATGAGTTACTGGCAGGGCAGGGTTCTTGCTTTAGAAAGGGTAGTGAGAGACAATGGGACTCTGAGATAAGGCCAGGGGACGAGCCAGAATGAGAATTCCACCCCAGAAAAGAGCAAGTGCAGTCTGTTGGTCAAGGTGAACATGACTGTGTGTAGTGAGCAAAAGAAAGATAGTTCAAAGTGAGGTGACACCAGAGAGATGTTAGTGTAATGAGAGGGGCGGAGCTGAATGCAAAAGCTATTTGAGGGGAAGAGTCTTCTTCCACAGAAACCCCCTCTGCATAGAGCCTGTTCCTGCTAGATCATCCCTCATTCAAAGCAAGATCTGCAGGGGGAGCCCCCAACCAGCCACCTGTTGGCATATTGGTCCTCTCAAGATGGTGGTCTGGCTGGGGAGGTTAGCTTTTGAGAACCAGCCCCGTTGCACCTGGACTGAGCTGTGTGTCCTTGTAGAGGGTGCAGTTTGGAATGTACGCCCTCTACAGCAAGAATAAACCTCGCTCTGATGCTCTGATGACCAGCTATGGTCACGCCTTCTTCAAGGTAGGAGAGCCTGAGACTGCAGGAGGACAAGGGGGTGGACGACATATCCTGAAACAACTCAGTGGTCTTCTATCCACCTGGCAGGACAAGCAGCAAGCACTTGGAGACCACCTAGACTTGGCCTCCTACCTGCTAAAACCTATCCAACGCATGAGCAAGTATGCACTGCTGCTGCAGGAGCTGGCACGGGCCTGTGGGGGACCTGTGCAAGAGCTGAGTGCCCTGAGGGCAGCCCAGAGCCTTGTACACTTCCAGCTGCGACATGGCAATGACCTGCTGGCTATGGATGCCATCCAGGGCTGTGATGTGAGTCATTCCAGGCCACGGTGGAATGTCCTGTGGGTGTGGAAGAAGAGGGCAGGAGGGGCCAGTCATCCACTGGACCCCAACTTTGCAGGTTAACCTCAAGGAGCAAGGGCAGCTGGTGCGGCAGGATGAGTTCATGGTGCGTGCTGGGCGCCACAAGTCCCTGCGTCGTGTTTTCCTCTTTGAGGAGCTGCTGCTCTTCAGCAAGCCTCGCCGTGGGCCCACAGGTGCTGACATGTTCACTTACAAGCGCTCCTTCAAGGTAGGCCCACACAACCCTGGCTCCTTCCTTGGGCCTGCCTACTGTTTCCTGCCCATGCCTCACCACACCACTCTCCTCTGGCCTTGCAGATGGCAGACCTTGGCCTTACTGAGTGCTGTGGGGATAGTAAACTGCGCTTTGAGATCTGGTTCCGCCGCCGGAAGGCCAGGGATACCTTTGTGCTGCAGGCCTCCAGCTTGGCCACCAAACAAGCCTGGACAACTGACATCTCCCGCCTGCTCTGGAGGCAGGCTGTCCACAACAAGGGTGAGTCCCTGTCCCCTACTTTACCCCTCCCCTCAGAATACATATCCCCCAGGAATCCAGGAGGGTCTAGGGACCTAGAAAAGTTTGAGAAGGGTAAAGAGGCCCAACAGCAGCTGCCAGTGCAGGAGAAATAAGTTCAGAGTCTGTTCTGATGTTACTGTTTGTGACCTTGGGCACAATAATCAGGAGCCTCATCTCTTAAAAAGGGCATTATGCTGCCTGCCCCAAGGATGGTTGGGAGGAGAGAGCCTGACACCAGAAAGGCTTGGTGCATAGGATGGTTTGTTTATGGGATAAGGGTATTCAGGAAAGACTTACTAGGTTCCACTTACCCCTACTCTTCACTTAGAGATGCGCATGGCTGAGATGGTGTCCATGGGTGTGGGGAACAAGGCCCTCCAGGACATTGACCCCAGCGAGGAAGCTATCAACGACCGCAACATCAACTATGTCCTAAAGGGCCGAGGTAGCGGGCCTCGGGTGGGGGTGAGGAAAGCTGTGCAGGAGGCGGTGGATCTCTGTCAGGCCTGGCCTATGCTCCCCTGGAGACTTCAGACCAGGCTAGATTCTGGCCTGTCCCAACCTGATCTTCTCTCTTATGCAGGAGTTCGCTCTCGGGCCTCCATTGCTGTGGCCCCATTGGACTATGACAGCCCCCACCTGAGGGTCTCAAACTCCCTTCCTGGAGACCGTGCCTCTTGCTCTGTTCTGGGATCTCTCAACCTGCACCTATATAGAGACCCAGTTCTTCTGGGCACCCACTGGCCCTTGTATCCCCCCAGCTTCCCAGAGGAAGCAGTATTGGAGGCTGAGGTGGAGCTGGGCAGCCAGCCCTCTTTGAGTATGTCTTGGATTATCCAGAGGTGGCATGGCTTGGGTCTGGGCCTCCTCTGGTGACAACTCACCTAGTTTCCTTCCCTAGCTCCTGAAGACTCAGAGGTGTCATCCCAGTGCCCATCAGCCAGTGGCTCCAGTGGTTCTGACAGCAGCTGTGTGTCAGGGCATGCCCTGGGTAGGGGCCTTGAGGACTTGTCCTATGTGAGTGTCATTTTTTGCTTTATGCCTATCAGCCCTACCCTAGCCTACCCTGGGCCTATGACTGACTTTCCTTTAGGGAAGATGGAGGTGGGTAGGCAAGAACCATTCCCCAAAGACCTACCCACCCCAAACCAAGGAAGCAGGCATTCATACCCAGCCTGGCACCACAGGTCTGAGCCCAGGCTCAAAGGTGAGCAGTGGATCCAGCAGCCAGTACCTCCAAGAGTCATCATCTCTCTGGATCTGCTATGACCGAGGCATGGCTGGCACCCAGGCCACTTTCCTCCTACGTGTACAGCCCTGTTGACTACCCTTTCTAATGTCTGGGGCCTCTCCAGGGAAGTCTGACTTCAGAGCCTAGATAAGTACTCTGTAGGCTCCTGCCTTCTCCTGTCTGCTTCTCTAGCTCTCCACCCAGTTGTAAGTTAGGAATAGGTTGGGACAGAGAATGGGTATTTCCAAACTCTATGCTGGTGGAGCACCACGGGGGCTCTGAGCAGACTGGGCTGCCTCTAACCCTCAAAAGGAACATAGGTGGGTTCCTAGCAGCTGCTCCTCAATCCCTGGTCTTAATGTCAAGCTCCCCAAACACAGACACATTGAACCCTTACTCTTGTCCGCCCTGGCTCCTTAGGCCCAACCCCATGTTTCCTGGGTCAGTTTGTTTATTTCGACTTGATGCCTATTATCTCACTGGACATTAGGCTGTTAGTGTCTCAGAGAAGGAGTCTAAGCCTTGACTTGTGATTTACTCTTTTATTTGTTTAAAATAAAAAAATAGACTGATTTGTACCTGTGTCTGGGCACGTGCATTCTGAGGATTTCCCCAGTTAACAATGAGCCTTGGTGGGTGAGGGATGGTGGGGGGCAGCATCTCTGGGCACCCTAGCCTTCTTGTAATAAGTATTTGCCCAGGACAGAGTAAGAGACAGACCTAGACAGGCCCTTCTGAATGAGCAGGTCCACGCAGCGGCCATATTTCCTGGCAAAAGGCAGTGTGAGCTGCAAAGAAAGGTCCCATCTTAACCCTGATTTCCAGGCCACTTGCCTATTCTAGCTCCATGTGAGTGGGATTCTCCCATCTGGGCGGGAGCAAGGATAGGGAAAGTCCTATTGTTGGGACTCCAGTGATACTTTTCAGTTCTGCTGAAAGGTATCTTACAGGGCTGTGGCTACCAGGGAACTGAGCAGAATGACCAGATGGTGTTGCCTGCTACTGATTTCTACTTTCTAGCCATAGATGCCGACTTCACTTTACAGACTATAATAGACAACCTGAGGCCTAATAGTAATTGAGTACTAGTGCATTTAAAGTGAATGGCATATAATAATGCATTGGTTATGGAAATGCCAGATTAATGAAAAATAGCTAAATCTTTCCCACCTATAATACTGAAAATTTATTTTAAAAAATCAGAAAAGAAAAACCATCATTCTTTTGCCTCTTACTGAACTTTTTTTTTTTTTAAACAAAAATGCTCTAAGTATGAAAAAACAGTGATACCATGGTGAAGTTCATATCACTGTTTGGAAAGGCTTGACTCCTGTGTTCTCAGGCTTGTGTGACATGCTTCCCCAAGTGTGACCAGGGTTGTTAGTGATGAAGTCATAGTTGGCATCATTGGAGGAAAATATAATTATAAAGACCAATGGCCTAAATGTTGCTTATTGACTACTCTGGATCAATTAATTTCAGTCATCATTTCTCCCTCCCTGGGACCAGAGCCTCACTGCCTGCCTTGCTTTCTAGACAACACTGGCCTGACCCTTGTGCAGCAAGGAGGTCTGAGGGATCCACAGAGTTGCATTCCCAGTGGGGTGAAGGTAGACCTCACCTCCACCCAGCTATACAGGCGCTCCTGGGTGTGCCGGTCATCCTTGAAGCCAGTGATGGCCAGCAAATCCACCACAAACTGCTTGGGGCTGATATGCAGGGTCTGTCAGAAGAGCCCATGGTTAAGAAAGGTCATGGGCATCTCCCAGCTCCTCAGAGAGACATGCAGACCAGGGACTTCCCTGGGCCTGTAGGATATGGGGCAGGTATTCCAAATCTCCATCTTAACCAAGGTTCAGTTCAGATGTACCTGCCCTGCCCTCTTGTCCTTGCACTTTCTGCCATACTTCTGCCTCTGACTTATCCCCCTTACCCTCGTTACAGCTTGCTTCCTCTTGTCTTGCACCACTTACTACAGGGATGGGAGACAGATGAAGATGGCTCAGTCTGTCCTAGGGCCTGGGGACTGTTACACATACCCACAGCCTGTTGGCCAAGGAGACCACCTTGGCTGTAATAGCTTTGGGATCCTTTTGCCTGATAGAATCCAAGATGATGTCAGTCAGGAAGCGGTGACATTTCTGTGCATAAAACATCTCTTCCCAGGACAGAGAGAAACTCAGGAAAGTCACCTCTGTGGAGGAAGGAGAGTGAATATGGCCACATCTGCCCACAGCCAGGGCCTTAGGGAGCTGTGGGGATAGGAGAGGTGTAAAGCCCCCAAGGATACTGTCCCTGAAGTACCCTCGGTGGGGGCTGCAGCATCTTCACAGGAAATACAGGTCAGGCATGGCTCCAGAGCCTTACCTTGGGGCTGGGGGCTGGCTGTGAGTGCTGCATGCCTGAAGCTGTCCATCTGTGTGGTGTAGATGATGCTGTCCTCAAAGAACATGCAAGAGCCATCGCTACCCACCACAGGTGGGTGAGTCACTTTGAGGATGACCCCTGGGTTGTCCATCCCACTGACATTAAGCAGGTGTTGATCAGGGGCAGGCCTTTCTGTGAAAACAACAAAGGGAGGGGGTTCTCCTTAGGCTTAAGAACTATGGCTTGGAGCCCAAGCAGGGAAGGGACCTCTGGGACCAGTGTATTCAGTCACTCCAACCTTCCATAAGCCTTTAGCTTCTCAGAATTAGCACTCTAGCCCAGCAGGGGCCTGTCTTGGCCTCTCCTCTTCATGGCATTATTATCTGACATTATTGTAAGCCAAATCCTGAATTTCAGAACTCCAATTAAATAGGGACAGTAAAAACCCAGTGGAAGACTGGGAATCTTTATAAAACTAAAATGAGAGGAGCTTTTTGGGACAGCCTTTCATATTTGTCCACTCTGAAAGAGTGGATGTTTGTCATCCCAAAATGATAGACCAACTCAGGGCTCACAGGTAAGAATCCAAAAAGGCCCCTTCAAGCAGGGCCTGAGCCACTAGAAGGGAAGGTGACAGAGTGCTATAGGAAGGACTTTGAGGGAGCAGAAACAGACAGTTCTTAGCATAGCACACTTTCCACTGCCAGCCCCATATTGTCTTCAGTCTAGTTTCCATAGACTCTCCTGTCTCCTGTACTTCATCTGGATGTACTTGGCATCTCATACAGCATGTTACTTCTTTACCAAGATCTACTTTCTCTTGTCCATCCATATCAGTAGGGATCTCCTTGAAACCAGGCCTCTCCTTGACTCCTCCATCTCCCTACATTCCTCTACTACTTAGTCCCTTTCACCCAGCCTAAAATGCACTCATGTTCTTGATGCACCGCCTCCTGCTGCTCTACTTCCTCTGTCCCCAGAGCAAGCTTTCTGGAGCACAAACTTGACTGCATGCTTCCTTTTTAAAATTAAGGGGCTGCCCACCCCACTCAGGGTCAAAACAGAGTACCACATTCTGAACTTAGCCCACAGGACCTGGCCTGATGACTCAGGTCTTTAGTGTCGTTTCCATGACTTCTGCAAGGAAGCTCAGCCTCCAGCTAGACCAAGGCCCCGTGCTTCCGCAAACACCATAGATTTTTCCTCTCTGCCTTTTGATTCCCCAGGCCCCAGCCTCTTGTGCTCCCACTTCCTAGGCTCCTCCTTCCCATAGCACTTGTCACTTTGCCTTATGTGACTTTTTGGCTCCTTAAGTCATACCAGTACACTAGTCATTTGTGTATCTGCTGACTAGCATAGAGCTAGCATCAGTGAGTAGAAGCTCTAGTTCCCCTTTGTCACTAACTTGCTCTGTGGTCTTAGCCAAGGAGTTTGTCTTCTCTGTTGTAAATGAGACTTAAGTATGGGAAAGAAAGGTTGGCAGAGTGGCTCAAGTGGTAGAGCAACTGCCTACCAAGCATGAGGCCCTCAGTTCAAACCCCAGCACCACCAAAAAAAAGGAAAAGGACTCACCTCTCTCCTTTGGTCTCTGCTTTCCCCAGTCCTTTAGAGCAACAACTCTTTTTGTGGGGAAGTATGGCTTAAAGGCTGGCTCTGGACCTTTGTCTTTCACTCCAGCCCCAGTCTGCGGACCTGGATCCTTCTCTGAAGCTATGGAGTGGGCTTTCCAAGCAGCTGAGGTGCAGGGCTGGGAAGAAGCCTCACTTCCTGAGGGGAGATGCATGGCAGCCTCCTCCAAGGTGCTGCTCAAGGGGGCTGTGAGTGCTGGCTGGAATTCCCATTGTTTGCAATTGACCATGTCCCATTCCCTCACCAGGGAAATGAGTTTTTGCATGGGGGTGACAGGAGGGTCTTTGTTTTCAGATTTTTGTGTGAGGTTAATTGTGGCGCCCTTCTTCTTGGGAGGACTCTCAGAGTGCCCCCCCCAGTGTCTGGGGTTGTTACATAAGCCAGAGCAGTGTGAGTATGTACTGGGATTTCCTGCCCTCTTGGCATTTCGGCACAGAGAGACCTGGACAGTCCTGGTGTACTGTTCAGCCTCTTCCATCTGGCTGGCCATGGCCAGGTTCCCCTTGGCATTGCTCCATGGAGTTCTGTCATTGCAGTCTTGAAAGTCCACAGGCATGCAGGCTGTGGTCTAGGGAGGGAGGGGCACAGTAGCTCTGGGTATGTTGTGCATTATTGCCAGAGCCTCTTCAAGATCTAATAAGCTGGGCTTCCAAGACTTCACCTGCTCACCCAGAACAATCTTATCCCTGACATGGGTCACCCATTTTAGCTTTGCTCAGTATGAACGGAGGAGGTGCCAGCCTAGGGGCCTCTCATTCTCCAACAGGAGAGATTATCAGCATCCCAGGATACAAGTGGCCAGCACATCCATTGGGCCTCCTTTAAGATTGAGAAACCAGTTCCTGTACTAGGAACCCATGTAGGGCCCTACTCTTCCATTTTACCAGCCCCTCAGTAGCTGGGCCTATCCCCCTGAGCCCTGTGGTGGTGCTGAGAACAGAAAAAAAAAAAAAAAAAAAAGGCTAGGGCTTACTTCTTTGGCATCTCTACTAAACTCTACCAGTGACCCTGGCCCTTCTGTCACCACATGCAGCTTCCTGATGGGAAAAGCTTCTTCATTTTCAGATTCTTTCTCCTGGGTCCATGTCCTGCAGAGACCAACAGAGATTGGTTAGTAAATAGAAGCATCCATCATCCCTTCAGCTAGTTGGTCAGGTATGCCCTTTGGCTGGGCATTAATGATTTGAGAGCAAAGAAAAGGGAACTCTTAAAGGGTTTTGCTTAAGTTACTGGCCAATCCTGAGCCCATTTCACTTCCTCAACTCCAAGAACAGGTCCCACTACCAGGTAAGACTTTGCATTTCCAAGAGGAATATAAGGGTCAAAACTAAAAACACGGAATTCTGAGTGAAGTTTTCTTACTTGTATGCCTCACATTGTGTGAGGGCTTCTGAGAGCGATGGAATGTGATATTCCTCCACCTCCTGGCAGAAGAGAGGCCATTCCCTGCAAATGACAAGATATTAGGCTGGGCAATTGGGGTAGGGTGAGGGATGTGAACCCCTACAGAAGCTGCCTCAAGTAACAGTGCCCATTTTGGAAATAATAAAATCCCTTTCCCGAAGGGTGCAGACTCAGATTTCTTCTGTTGCAAAAGGGGTCACCTCAGTGATTACATCATATGATTTCCTTGCTTTGCTTACTTAAATTCAGATGGTAAAAACAGTTTTCCAAGTCTCAGGAAATTGAGAATGTGTCGGAACATTTGGCCATCTCCGTGGATGAGCAGGGTCTGTCCGTATGTGATCCAGTACACTCTCTGAGGGTTGGACAGCAGTTCTGGATACTAGAGGGAGTTGTATATCAGAATTGTTAGTCCTACGGACTGGGTCTTTAGTGAGGGACAGATCAGCTAAGGATTCCCACCTCCCTATCTTACTGGTCACTGTGGAGCAGTACATCCAGGGAGAAGTACATCATCTCAGCTTCAGCTTTTATTTATTTATTTATTGGTTGATTTATTTTGTGGTACTGGGGCTTGAACTCAGGGCCTCCACCTTGAGCCACTCTGCCAGCCCTTTTCATAATAGGTATTTTTGAGATAGGGTCTTGCAAACTATTTGCCCAGGCTGGCTTTGAACCATGATCCTCCTGATCTCTGCCTCTTGAGTAGCTAGGATTACAGGTATGAGCCACCAGCGCCTGGTTCTTTGCTTCAACTTTTGCTGGTCCACAGACGCTCTACAAGATTTGGAACCCCACCCAAACCTTCTTGGTCCAGGATCCTTGGAACTGGTCTCCTCTCTATCCATACTCCTGAAGCCTTCCAAGCATGCTACTCATTCCATTTCTGCCGATAGGATAAGAAGCAATCTAGACAGTAGAACTGGCAGAAGGTCCTGGCTGTAAGCAGGTGCTGGAGGCTGTATGGGCATCAGGTGATGGGTCCCAAAGCAGCTCAGGGAAGGAAACCAAAGCAAGAGGAGGCAGCTGGGGCCAGCAGTACCTTTAGCAGGGTCTGCAGGGTAGTTGCATACCAATGGCTTCCTACATAAACCTTGATGATTTGTTGAGGGGAATACACAGTGATCTCTGCTGTCCACTCCTCATCTATAGGAACCAATGAGAGAGAGAGAGAGAGAGCACATCGTATGGTCAGAAGGGAAATTTGTAGGGCATTTTGGTCAATGGTGTTTGTGTGGTAAGACTTCCATCTTCATCATTCATATTGGATTGCCTACTCTGAGAAGCAGCAGAAATCCCTGATACCAGCCTTCCCTACTGCTTCCCCCATGGCTTTCTGGGGGGTGAGTGGACTTGGAATGGGAACTTTGGAGGTCAGCTGGTGACTCTGGATGAGGTAGGAGATGTCCTCTAAAATTCTAACTCCAGTCCACTAAGTGTTCTTTGCCTGACCTGCTTCCCTCAAGAAAGCTGGACTGATGTTCCTGTCCACCTATACTGCCAGCTGTCTCTGGTTTCTGGCTGGCTGTATCCTGGGTGTATACCTTTCCATGTGACCACCCAGACTGGAGCTAGGAGTCTCTGTGTTTGTGCTTATAGTTTGGCAGATGTCATAGAGCCAGTCCTCATCAAATCACTGTTACTTCTATAGAGACCAAGCCTCTATGCATGTCACAAGGCTCCATGTTGGGAAGATGAACCCATGACCCTTCTCCTAGGGGTGACTATATTTAGGCCTTGTTTTAATGAGCTTTTTTAATGAGTGAAAGTGTGTAACTAGATTATGTGTAACAAGAAGTAGGATATATAGAATTAGGCTGTGAACTTCAGGAAGGCAGGAACTGACTCCACATTGCTCACTTCTCTACTTCCAGTGTCTATCTACCTGTCCTGGTATGGTATGGTGCTTGTTGAGTGTTGCTGAATGATAGTAACACAAATTAAACTTTACCTAGAAAATTTGTTAATAAAAGGTTATTTGATAGTCTAAAACATTGGTTTTGGACTCAGATTGAAACTCCAGCTTGACCACTCTGACAAGTTTCCTCCCTGAGCCCGTTTCATTTGTTAGACTATTCTTGCTTGCCTGGCTGGAAGAAAAAAACAACACACTATGTTGATTCCTGGAGCCACAGCCAGCCTGCTGTTGGGGATCTGCTACCCTTAGACTGGATAGCAGCCCTGTTTCTACTACTGAGATGAACTGTGGGCATGGAAGTGAGGAGGGAGCACTTAACATGAATGTTTCCTTTTAGGGAGAACCCTAAATATTGGCCTGACTTGCCCTTCTCTTCCATCTACAGTTCCTGGTCCTGGCTCAACTCATCTTTCCTCTCTGGTCACCTAGACCCCCCCATGAGGCTAAGTTCAAATCCACAAGCTTCCTCACTTACTGAGCACATCCATAGGTGGCAAAGTCCTCGGCTCCAGATGAGTCTTCAAAGCCACTTTCATTGGCTCATAGGTGAGGTCCCTCTTGTCTAGGAAGGCACAGAGCTCATACACCTCAGAAATGGTCTCAGTTAGAGGCAGCCGGCAAGTCCCCAGCCAGTTCCTGCCCAGAGGAAAGTCTATTATTAAGAGCCTCAGTGCTGCATCCCAATAATCAAGCCTGCTCCACGTCTAGGATATCTTGCTACAAAACTGGCTCAAACCTGGCACTAGTAAATCTGGTGATTTCTTGATTGAGAGTAAATGTGGACGGAAGCCACCTTTTTAGAGCTGAGCTTGACTTACTTTAGCAAAGCCCACTAAACTGACTCATATCAAGTCTCCAGGCACTGTTTCCAGTTCAGGAGCAACAACTTTCCAGCCCCCATAAATAGCTGCCCAAGACCTCTCTGTACTGTGGCAGCCTGCCATGGACTTGTGATATTACTAACATAATATCTAGACAACCTCCTGCACAACCCTCCCTCCAAAGGCACTTCTAGTTGCCTTCTGTGACATTACAGGTGGGCATGTCTGAGAAAGAGATGATGGTATGGGACCAAAAAGCCCAAAATGACATAATTGAAGGAAGACAGCATTTGTGGTCAGCTACCCTTTTCTCCAGGAGCTCAGAAAAACTGCACTGCTACTTTTAGTTTTGGTGCTAATGGATTTTGCAACCCCAGCAGAATTGCTCCACTGTTCTGAGCCTCAGAACCTCATGGATTGGAATCCATGCCCTGACACTAATAGGAACACTCTGAGCTCATTTCTTAAGTCACTGGAAAGCCTGCCCTGCCTTGCTTCTTAGGAGCTCAACCTGGAGTCTCCCAGGATAAAGAGGACCTTTGCCAAGAGGTCTTGGGGTGGGATGACCAGCACTTTGAGGGTATGATTATGGTCTGGCCATCGACCGAGAAATGGATGGTAGAGTACAGAAATATGAAATTGCCTGGAGAAGCCTTGTATCTTGACCCAAGCCCTCTCCACAGAGGGCCTAACCTGGTGGTGGTGGTGAAGGGTGAAATGATGGGTTGGTCCCAAGGACATTCTTTCCCCCTGGCTCATGGGAAGGGCTCCAGATTGTTCCTAGAGAAGGACAAAACCCAGCCTGATGACACCAAGTGGCTCCCTGAGGAAAGACTTACTTCACGTGCTGGAAGAGGACCCCATTCCCCGTGATGTATAGTCTGCTTCCATCCAGCGTGCTCTCAATGCGAAGCTGTCCCAGCGCAGAGTCTGGATACTTCACCAGCAGACCCAGGGCCATCATGTACAGTGGCTTTGTGGACTCCAGGCCAGCTGCACGCCCCCCTTTTCCAGGGCTTGGGGAAGGACAGGAGGTCCGGGAACAGCCTCCTGTGTGGGGGAGAAAGGGGTGACTCCTAGACCCCCTTGGTCAGAGCTGAATTGGAGACTGTGGGTCTCAATTCCTCCTGCTGCCTCAATTAGGACTTAAGTGGCTTAGACTAGGAAGGTTATTCCCTTGCATAATCCAAAAATGGATCATTTCAACACCTGTATAATTTTGTGTATACTCAGTCAAGTTTAGAGGTCAAAATTATTTGTTGGGATGTGAGTAGGGGGTAGGGAATTCATTTGCTATATCACTAACATCAGAATTTCAAAAATCTCAGTATAGCAGCTACTTGGCCCCAGCCTCTGCAGGAATCTCCATTAGTTCCAAGCTCTATTCTAACTATCCAAAGCTCAAGATTTGTAACCATAGCACAGAACCCAATGTGCACCACAGGCTCCCAGGATTCACAGCCCAGAAATGTACTATGTGGTTCTACTTTCAGGTTGAGTATTTGGGTTGCTGGTTCATGGGTGGACTTGTTCTCCTATGGTGGTCACAGGGTACAGAACACAATTATCACAGCTGACAGGACTTGCCCCAGTGGCAACCATGCGCCAAGGGGCAAGCTACCCAGGAACTTTCATGGATCATCTTCAATTTTCAAAGCAACCTAGTTCTGAGAGTCCAGAGTTAGTGCTATTGTCATTTCACAGGTAAATGAACCATGTCATGAGGGGCTAATTAAGTATCCTACCTAGTTTTGCAGTTTAGGGTAAGGGTGTAAGTAACCGCAGAGCTAAGAGTTTGAGGTCAGCTCTGTCCCTCTCCAAGGCTACCAGAGCTGTTTCCCTCTGCTGCTTTGTAAAAGGTCAATGCCATACTTTGCATTTGAAGAGTGCCTGTCTACAGACATACCTCCTTTCATCTTCACGTTGCTTGTGGGGGGCAGGCACTAGTCTACCAGTTCAACAATGATTCATATTCTCCAAGGATCAGAAACTCTTGGGGAAAGGGGCTGAACTCACACCCCTTAAATGAACTGTAAGACCATGGGACAGGCTCCTGAGAAGAGCTATAGGATGATAGTCCCTCAATATAGGATGGAAATCTATTTGCCTAGGGGGAGGCTGGGTCTAAAAATAGGGAAAGGACTCATTCCCACGAGACAAATATCTGGTGATGTCCAGGCCAAACTTCACATGTGTGAGCCAGTTTACATTCTTCTTCTTCTCTCTCTCTCTCTCTTTCTTTTTTTTTGGTAGCTCTGTTATTTGAGAAGTTTCTACATATTCTCAGTAGGCCAGCTGAGGTCTCCCAAAGGAGCTAGCTTCCTGAAACATGCACAGTAGCTTCCATGGGTATGCAGGAATTGGGAAATGGGATGAAGAAAGATTTAAAACCAAAACTGTGAGCAGCTGGAATGAGGCAGGGCCAGGGACACAAAGGCCTAGCCTGAACAAGGGTCAGGATAGGTCAAAAACAGGCAGAAACAGGCACAGGAGTGAAAGGTTGTAAGATGGGAGGAAAGGGGAATTGGAGAGTAGGTGGAGTAACAAGCAGGCCTGGAAGAGGCCTGGAAGAGGCCTGCTTCAGTTAGCTAGGCCTGAAAGAGGAAAGTTGGGAGTTGCAGGTAGGTAGTCAGGACTTCCACAGCAGGACATTCTGACCTGGTTTCCTACCTAGGCTGGGCTTCTCCAGCTCCAGGCCAGGAGGGACTGCCTTTGGTCCTGGCTGGTTTCCAGCCACCCCTCTCCCCCTTGCGTGAACTGAACTATCAGAGAGGGCCAATCTCACCCAGGGTTTCAGACCAAATTCCTCTTCTCAGATTCTAAGTCAGGAAGAACACCACCACCCAAAGCCCTAAATAACTATGGGAGGGAAGATATTTGCTCTTGACTTCTCCAACTTAAGCCCAGACTGCCCCAGAATGTCAAAGGTTCCCAGACAATATACCCATGTTCATCCGACACAACCGTACAGCTTCTGTGAGCTCAGGGATTTCCAGAATTTCTACTTCTGCTTCTAACACATCTATGTTGGAGAAATTATCCGGTAACAAAATCTTGTGTGAGCGAAGAAAATTCACTTAAAAGCAAAGGAAAACAACAAGAGTTAACAAAGATGTTTGTGACTTAACTGTTGATCTAGGTTTTAACAAGCTTTTGGTATTGTACCTTATCCAAGGCTCTCCTTGTTCTGAAACAATTTCTAAACATAGCTGATTAGATTAGCTTTGGGTCTGTGGTTTTCAAGAAGAAAGACCCAAAATTACCTTGTTTTTCTGTGTCTGAGTCCAGAGGTATGGCCTCCTATGGCCTGACCTGGTGCTCCCAAGCCAGGCTCTCCTGGTGAGCACACTGGCTCTGAGACTTACCCTCAGAGTCTTGGCTCAAAAGCAGGTCATTCCAAAAGAGGCAGTTGTCTTGTTGCTTGAGAGAGGAAGGGTCTGTCTGAGCGTGGGCTAACAGGTGGCAATTTCAGTTTGTGCCTGCCTGGACTGTGGCGTGAAAGGCAGAGAGGGAGCCAATGCTAACATCCTATGTGAATCAACTTGGAAATTTAGAAGCACACCACAGACACCTTCAAAGGTGACTTTGAATCTGAATGGCTGGAGTTCTAGACATTTGGGGCTCCCATGCAACTTGGTGTTTACTACTTTGTCTCTCTAGGCAACAGTAGCAGCTTGGGATAAGAGAGGCCATTTGGTTCATAGCCCCAGCAGAACTCATCCTGGGGCAGTAGAGGGAGAGAGGTTCTCTTCCTGGCAGGGTGAGAGATCTCATTCCTCCTTAGGTTGCTAGCTCAAGGCCACCATTCTACATAGTTCTGAGGAATCTGTCATTATTCACTCTTCTTTCCTTGTGCCCTGAGTATACTGGAATTGAGAGTGGGTAGGACCATCCTTTGAAACAATCATATTGCGTTTTTTTTTTTTTTTTTTTTGCAGTACTGGGTTTGAACTCAGGTCCTCATGCTTGCTAGGCAGGTGCTCTATATTTGAGCACTCTACCAGCCCTTTATTATGTTGGGTATTTTTGAGATAGGGTCTCACAAACTATTTTCTTGGGCTGGCTCTGAGCCACAATCCTCCTGATCTCTGCTTCCTGAGTAGGTAGGATTTCAGGCGTGAGCCACAGCACCCAGTCTGTTTCCTCATTCTATGGGGAGAGGAGCTGAGACCTGGAGCCCAGTGGAGCTATAAGGACAGAGTAAGTAAAGAAGGTGACTTTGGAGTTCAGCTCAGTGCTCTGCCTTCACATTGACTCCTGTGGCCCATGACCCCACCTTGACAGGTTTCAGTGCCCCTTTATAGCCAGGCCATCCCCAAAGAAATAGAAACTAAAATAATTCAGAACCACATGAGAGTCCAATGCTGGAATTCATTTGCCTCTTGGATTCTCCACCCAGGGAAGCTCATCGGGCCCTGAGCACTAAGCTGGGCCTCCGGGGGTATGGAGTGGGGAGTGGGGAGGGGTAGGTGGCCCTGCCAGCCTGCACCTGCCACCCCAGGATAGAGCAATCACCAATGAAGCGGAACTCGCTGCACTCGCATTCGATGAGGGCCACAGTCTCAGCCAGCCACAGCAGGTTGTCTTCAGTCACAAGGCTTGGATACTTGGCTACCAGGTCTAGGGGCAGGAAGCAGTAGTGTACTTCTTCTTCTGTGTCTAACAGTGGTGTGTCCATGAGCCCCAAAGGTGCCTTGTCATGCAGGCCTGGAGGAGAATGTACAGGAGAGGTCTGTCACCACCTCCCTGAGGCCAGGGTTCTCATTGGTCCAGGGCAGGAGGAAGGTAGCGAGACCACCCAGGAGACAGTTCCTGCCACACGCCTCCTTCCTTTCTCTCTTTTCAGGTGTAGCTTAAAAGTCAGAAGGAGTATGGTAGGGGTAAGTGAACATAGAAATCTGTTTTTGGGGTGTTTTTTTAGCAGTACTGGGATTTGAACTCAGAGCTTCACATTTGCTATGCAGGATCTCTTACTACTTGAGCATACCCTCAGCCATGAAATCTGTTTCATTTTACAGACACTGAAGAGCAGTGGAACATGTTGGCTTATGTACCCAAATCACTAAATTCACTTATCCATTTAGTCTTTTCTAATGGCTCAAACCAATCACTGGGCCTACGCATGAACTAGATGCTTTTAACTCTCTTGGAAGCTTAAAACCCATCAATGAGAATGAATGCCCAGATAGACCAGCCTGTGCTGCAAGGCACTCATGAGACAGATCGCTTGGAGCTTCTGACTTCTAGGAGGGAGTGGAAGATGATCTCACCTTGCTTAAGAGAAGCCAGTATGCAGAGAAATGAGCATGGAGCAGGTAGTTAGTTTTGGTGGGCAAGCAACCATGGAGGGGGCATGTGGCAGGTACTAGGAGGCACTAGCTCAAGAGGTGAAGGTACTCTGGAGGGAAGCCACTCCTGTGAGGAGAGGGGACACTGGTATGGGCTTCTGGAGGCCAACCCAGCCCTGATTATACCTGTGAAGGCTGGACTTTTTATTGGAAATTCCGAGGGTTTGCTGATACATTTCCATGTTCTCCAGTAGTTCAAAGATGCTCTCTCAGCAACAGGAATGTCTGCGGGCCGCACACGGAGGTGGTGCTTCCCTTCCTTCAGATTGTCTAGAGTCTATTAGATAAAGAAGATTGCTGCTTTGAAAACCTACCATTTCTAGAATGGATACTATATGTATATATATAATGTGACTCACTTTGTTAAGGTATTTTTAAAATAAATTGATCACACAAAAATTTAGGGTTTTATGATGACAAAAATCTCACTGGGACATAGCTCTAAGTGATAGAGCACCTGCCTGGCAAGCATAAGGTCATGAGTTCAAATCCCAGAACCACCAAAAAAAAAACAAAAGAAAGAAAGAAAAAAATGTCAATGACCATTTCTCTTTCAATTTTTTTTTTTGAGAGAGTTCTCCCTATGTAGTCCAGGTTGGCCTGGAATTTCCTTTGTATCTCAGGCTGCCTTGAACTCACAATACTCCTGTTTTGACTTCCCAGATACTGGGATTACAAGTTTGCACCACCACACCTGGCTCTCTTCTGATTTTTTAAATAGTTTTTACCATTACAATTTTATGTTGAGTAATAATAATTTATTTAATATAAGGAGTGACTTATATTTAATCATTTAAAACTTGATGTTTTCTGCTATCATTGTTCTTCAATAGCTCAAAACCATTTCTGGCATGTTATAATTGTGATTTGCTCCTTGTTTGTGTTCATCCTAATTCTGGGAAGTGGTCTAAGTAGTGAGACTGAGGAGAATAAAGTGTCTTATATCGGCACCAGTCTCCACATTTTGCAAATCGGTTTCACCATGTTCACTCATTTATCCTGACACAGTCCATGGAACAAATGAGAGAGTTGGGGGTTTTGCAATTTGTCTGAGAGGACTCCCAAGTTCAGAGCATATTAGCTTGAAGGAGCAGGTGGCCAGGAGTGGGTAAGGCTGGAGTGGAGCATCCCAATTAGGTAGGGCTAAACCCAGGGCGAAGAGTAGGCTGAGGTGTCTTCATGCCATCTTCACCCAGGGACCTATTCTCCCTCCACAGTCCTGCAGGAAGCAAATTATTATAATATCAGGCAAATTGTTTTCTTATCCTACCTTGGAAGAAGATAGTATTTTCCTAACACACTTTTGGAGAGAGTAGGGCAAATGGTCCTTCAAAGGCACCATATGATCAACTTTCTCCTCTAAGAACCTTTTTTTTTTTTTTTTTTGGTGCTGGGGTTTGAATTCAGGGCCTTACACTTGCTAGGCAGGTGCTCTATCACTTAAGCCACTCCACAAGCCCTTTCTAAAGCCTTTTAAGGACAGAATACCTCAAATTAAGTAATAACAAAGGAACCTGCTTCTAATTGCTAGCTACACAGATTTTGGGAAGCCTTGAATGATAAGAAGAGCCCCCTGGTGGTCATACCTATAAACTGCCACTGCAAAATCAAGAACTGCAAAATGAGGTGGACCAGAATGGGACAATCTTCTCCACTTTGGGTGACTGGAGGACTTGCAGGAGTACCAGACAATGGAGGGATTGTGGGGAGTGTTTTTCTGCAGTACGTGTGTGGAATGTTGGAAGGGAATCTGCCACTTGTTCACTTGAGTGCATCATCAGGTCCTTGCTTGGACTCGGAGCTATCAGCTTAGGAGGAGAAGAAATACATGAAAATAAACAAGTTACATATATGAAGATAATATCTAGCACTAATTATGAAGTTTCTGGATCTCCAGGAACCCTGGGATTCTTTCCACATCATTAGAAGGGGACCCTTTTAGGCTTGGGACTGCACACAGCTTTAGCTTCTATGTCAAGCTGTCAGCTGAGGAGGGAAATTGGGACAGATTCTGCATCCCTGTGGTAGAAGAGCATATTGAGTTAAGATGTAGGATGACAACATGACAACTTGACAGTATTCATGTTGAGAAATGGGACAAAGAAAGGAAGATGATGACTGTCCCCAAGGGGTCAGGACAGAGCATCGAGGTGGGTGGGTAGAGATGTATACTGAGCCACTTGCCTCTGTATTTTGAATGTGACATTGTTCGGGTGCATGGAAGTTGAAGTGAAGAAGATGACTCAAGAGTAGCAAACAAGAGCCAGAGAACAGAGAGCCCTAAAATCTGGCTGAGGAGTTTTGATTTGTTCTCTGGTCAAGAGAAACCCTTGAGGGATTCGAAGCAGGGACTGTTACTTGACTGTTTTTCTTACCATCTCCACCCAGTTAGCCAGAAGTCCTGGATCTCTTGCCTCAATATTTCCTCTCCTTTCCCTTCTCCCTGTCTGGGTCCCCAGGATCCCAGGCCTCTCCACACAGATTTGTGTGGAGAGAGACACAGGGTGGCGGCAAAAAGAAGTAGCATTCACAAAACTAGTTTCTCACAAAACTGAAAAGATGCTGAGTCTTCAAAACCGTAGGCAAAGTCAGCACAGGATGACAATGGGCAGAGCCCACAGAGTTCAGAGTGCAGTGATGTCAGCAACTCCAACTTGGGACCTGGAGGCCAGAGAGAAAACCTAAGGGGAGAAGGACTGGGATGGAGGAGGACAGGGGAAAAGAATGACAGGAAGAATGGGCTTAACTTGGGCCCATTGGTGGTGGACAGAAAGATGAAGCCTGCTGGAGAGAGTGAAACTAAGAAGATTCTAGAAGAAAGCAGAGCATCCCAAGTCCAGGCTAAGCTGATTACTTAAGAGTTCACAGGTGGGGGTGAGGGAAGGCAGCACAAACAATGTATACACATGTAAGTAAATGTAAAAATGATAAAATAAAAGGAGAAAGATAAAAAGAGTTCACAGGTACTTGAACTTGCCACTTAATTCACCTGCAGATCCAAACCTCAAATTCCATCTCAGTGGGAAAAACAGTGGTGCCCTTTAACACCACTGACCACATGGGAGGGGGCAATGAGGAGGAAGGAAATTCTTATCCAGGATGACAACCTGTTTGAGGATGGCCCAGGATTTCCAATTTGTAAGTGTTGATTGGTGTGGTTTGCATGCTCTGGGGTGGGTCAGTAATGACAGACCAACCAGTTTGAGAGGAGATGTGTGAGTTGAGGGGAGAATGATCTATTTTATAGAATTAAAATCTCTACCTCCTGCTATTTCCACCTCTGTAATGTATGAGCGACACCATTTCCCCAAAAAAGGAATGTCTGAAAAATCTAGAAAAAGAGAAGAAATACAGCAAAAAAATCCACCCACACAAAGATTGCAATCCTGGCCAGAAAAGTCATGCTGCATGCTAGGCCCAGGAGTTTAACTAGGCTGTTTTCGGAACTCTCTCAGCCAATCCTTGCTTTCACTTCTAGAAATGAAACTCCTCTGCATTTGGGTACTGTAAGAAACTGCAGAAAGCATTCCCCAGCCCTTCGCCTGCCTATTTCTTTATGCTCTGCCAGTCTCCTCTACTAGATGTACCCTCTCACAACCTCCAATACATTGCTTGTTTTGTCCTCTCCCATATTCACATTACCCAGAACAGTGTCTGTGGAACCTCAGTGTATTTTGTTGAAAGAATGAACCAAAAACACTTCACAGAGCCTGGGCTACCACCTGGTCTTGGGTTTTGTTGACTGAAGTTGTCACAGAGTGCATGGCTGGTCTTCCGAAGCTCTCTTCAAATCTACTTTCATCTGCCTGAATATTACTTTTAGGAACTTTACTCTTCATATGTTATGACCTGGAAAGTTATTAGATGAAGGATTTCTTTTTCTTTTCCTTTCTTTCTTTCTTTTTTTTTTTTTTTTTTGGTAGTACTGGGAATTGAACTAAGGAACTCACACTTGCTAGGCAAGTGCTCTACCTCTTGAGCATGTCCTCAATCTTTTTTGCTTTTAGTTTTTCAGATAGGGTTTCACAGTTTTGCCCAGGTTGGCTAAGACTGAGATTCTCCTACCTTCAATCTCTGCCTCTTGAGTAGATAGGATTATAGGCATGAGCTATTAGCCAACAGAGGATTTCTTTAGGGAAATGCGGACCTGAAATCAGATGGCTAATTGCTAGCAGGAGAACGATTGATGTTGCTTTTGGCCTAGATAGTAGTGAAAAAAAAAATGTATCAACCAGAACAACATAAAACTGATGGTGCAGGGGTGTGTGTGTGTGTGTGTTGCCAAAAGATGGCTGACAAATGCATCCTGCTGGCAGAGCTTTGGAACTTAACAGAGGCTTTTCAAAGCAGCAGCGGTTCTTGGAGCACTTCTTGCCTTATGCTCTGTTATGAACTACTGAAAGGAATGTGATGGTAAAGGAGCTTTTGGGGAGCTTGCAAATCCCTGGCTACCTTGTAAAGTCAAGGATGTGCAGAATAGCTGCTATCAACCAAATAAGACAAGCTCTCTGTATCCCCAACCTGCCTCTCTCCTGCTAGCACTCATCTCCTCACTCTGCAGATGTTTATTAAACACTTGTCAATGCTACGTACTGTGAAAGATACTAGGAATGCAAACATGAGAAGAAAATAGTCCAGAAAGGGGGAAAGATAAACGAATAGAAGATACCAACAGAATTAGCACTGATATAACAGAGGAATTGATTCTGTTATAAGAACAGACAAAAGCTGTCTGGAAATGTCAGGCTAGGCTTCTTGTGGGCCACATTTAGGACAAATCTTAAAAGGGAACATTCTAGGAAGAGGAAACAGCAGGTAAAAAGGTATATGGAGTAGGCATGTGTGGTGCTTAGGGATGCGGCTGAACTTCTGAGTGTGTTATGTTGGGATGTGAGCCAAGACAAACAGATGGTTTAGACTGTGAGGGCTCTGATGCATATCAAGAGGTTTCAACTTGAGTTTTCCACTTACCCATACCCACAAGCTATATCTGCTGGTTTGCTTGTTTTATTTTGTTGTTGTTGTTTATTTTTGTTTTTTGGAGGGGGGCTTTGAAGGTTTGAACTCAGAGCCCTATGCCTGTGAGGCAGGCACTCTACACTTGAGCCATACCCTCAGCCCTGTTTGCCTTAATTACATTTTGAATAGGGTCTCCCATTTATGCCCCGGCCAACCTGGACCTCAATATTCCTATTTACGGTTCCATAACTGAGATGACAGGCATGTGCCACTATGCCCACTTTTTTTTTCTTTTTCTTTTTTATTTAATTGATTAAA